TTCCGAGGCGCGCCCTCGGCGCGGGGCACCCCGCGCGACGGCCGCCGCCCCCTTCGGGGGGGGGGGGAGGGGGCGCGTGCACGCCCCGCACCCGGCCAGAGGGCCTCCGAGCGAGGGCGCGGGCGCGGGGGCGCGCCCGAGATCCTGCTGGGGCCGCCACTCCTTCACGGCGGGCGCGTCTCCGGTGGCAACTCCCCGTGCGAACACTGCCCCTGCGCCCCACGATCTCTGAGGGGGAGGGTGGGGTTCACTTCGAGAGCTCCCGGACGAAATGAACCCCAAACCTCCCCCTCAGAAATCGTGGGGGGCAGGGGTACTCCAGATGTCGTAATAAAAGGGAGGGGGTCTGGACCCTCCAAGACAAGCCATTTCAGACCCCCCCACGTGGGAGAACCCTCCAAAACATCGTCCCCAGACCACCCCAGACCCTCCAAGATAGCCTGGAACAGACCCCCCCCGAAATGAGACCCCCCTCCCTTTATTACGAAATCTGGAATGGGGTTCGCATGTGGTCCCCTACCAGCACGGCCTCAGGGCCCATCGGGAGCAGCGCAACTCTCGGGGATGGGCACAGCCCCCTCTCGCAAAACGCGGCTTCGCGAAAACGACTTCGGGCCCAAACCTGGCGGGCACGAGCCCGGAAAGTGACGGCCGCGGCGCCCTCTCGAGAACCGCAAACGGACAATTCACCAATCGACGTGCTGGGGTGGGGGTTCTGTCCACCCCCGAGGTGGCGTAGCGCAGCGGCTCTCACGGGTCGGTCAGGCTCGGAAGATGACGCAGAAAGATGTGTCCAGGGCGCTCTGGTCGTGATGTTTGCGACGTTGCAGGCGCGGTGAAACGTCGGATCTCGGGGGCGCCCTCGCGAGGCGGTGGGCAGGGCCGCGCGCGCCTCCGGCGCGCGCGGCCCGCGTAGTGTACAGGGCCAGGGGTGCGCCCCGCCCCCGAGCGGAGCGGCGCGAGGGGACCACTGACGGGGTCAGAACGAAGTCAGGACGAAGTCAGAACGACAGACGACTGGCGGCTGACGTCAGAACGACGGGCGACTGGCGCCAGAACGACCGACGACTGGCGACCGACTGCTGAAGTCGGGACGCCGTGAGAGCGAAGCGGAACGGGAACGGGGCCACAAGCGAAGTCAGAACGAACTCCGCTCCGAGACGGCTGACCCTGGCACCCAGATGGCCCAAGATGACCTCAGGACGGCCCACAAGGCCCGAAGGACGGCCCAAAACGGCTCAGAGACGACCCCAACGAGGCGCTCGGGAAGCCAAGCGCATGAATTGCCCCTGTGCTTCAAAAGTGCTGACACGCTCGCCCCTGCAGACGCACGGAGTGCCAAGGGTTCGGCGAATGCGGCGCAAGCCTTAGGTTCAGAACGACATCACTTGCAGGAGAAAACGTGTGGCCTCAAGCCCCAATTGACCCTATCTAGAGACTGCATGCGCTGCTTCCTGGGCGCAGACTCCCAGACTACATCTGCGATTCGATGCACATGATTAGAATACGCAAGAGATAAATGTAGTGCAAGAACACTGTCGTTGCTTCCCCTAGCCCCCTGACCGGCCACGCCACACCTACCGGCCTCTTCCGACCAGTCGCCTCCCCACCCTCGGGCTTCCCGACGGCCCAGCAGGGGGCCCAAGACGGCACAAGCTGGATCACGCGAAGGGGGCGGAGACCCGGAGAACGAGTCACAGACGACAGAGGGGGGGCGGCTGGCGCCCTCAATCGCCACGCCGAGCCCCTGACCCCGACCCCCGACGTCGCGATTGTCTCACCGCGCGGGCTGGCACCAGGCTGGCCCACCACCGAGAAGAAGCATCATGGCTTCTGCGCCAGCTCACAGGACTCATCCACGGACGGATCCAACTCACCTCCCGATTCATGGGCCTCCTCCTCCTCCTCCTCCTCCTCCTCCTCCTCCTCCTCCTCCTCCTCCTCCTCCTCCTCCTCCTCATGCGAAGCAGCGTGCTCTCCCCCCCCCCGGGGCCGAGGCTTTCCGCCCCTTCATCGTCTCCGGGGCGCCGGGCAGGGGCGCCCCGGAGGTCGAAGACGGCCGAGGACCTCCGCCTCGACTCTGCTCCATGTCCATACTTTGGAGGTCTGCGGGGGGGCAGCCAAGTATTTCGCTACAGTCGGGGCGTTGACCTAAGGAACCCTAAATAAGGAGCGAGGCCCCTGTTTCCCTTAACTTAAAAACTTCGATGCCCCATATGGAAAACCCAGGGAAAACCCAGGGCAAACTGTAACACAATCAAGGAACACCGAGCTCCTCCCCAACGGAAAGGGTTCCTTAGCCAGCGCCCCGACTGTACTTTGGAGGTCTGCGGGAGGGCAGCCAAGTATTTCGCTATAGCGCTACTCGCCTGGCCTCGCCACGGGTGCGTGCTGACCCGGATTCCGGAGAGGAGAGAGTCCACCCCTGGCGACGAGAGATCTCCAGGACGAGCAGCGGTGTGGGAATATCTTCCTCCCCTGCGCCTGGGGGCCCCGAGCGCGCGCGAGGTCTGAGCTTCCAGGCCATCATTCAAGCCTCCAGCATTATGCTGTTCCCATCGTACTTAAGGACTACATGCCAGAAATAATTTCGAGCACCCAGAAAAGGTATCGAAACAGAGTCTGCCCGACACGCTAGCACCCAGAAAACTGTCTAACGAGTATCGCCTCCCAGGGCCCGACACGTGAAAACCCTCCAGTTTCGGTATTTTCTTGGCGCTCGAATTTTTCTCTGGCGATCAAAGCTAAAGTAGGTTGGAACATCATAACTCGAGCGACCGATCGGGACAATCCTGGCACCCCCAGAACGCCCAAGGCGAGGCCCAGCGGAGAGGCGCGGCTGCTGGAAGCACCCCGAGGCTGGGAAACCACCAGGAGCCAGCGAGAACTTCCCAGAGACCCCCGCTCGGATTTGCTCTCGACGCGCAGCCGTCGGGCCAGGAGAACCCAAAATCGAATCGGCGAATCGGATCGGCGATCGACATGCATCGCACGGGCGGGACTCGGCAGCCAAGTCAGGAGAAAAGCCGAGCCAGCGAAAACCGGCAGGCCAGCAGGAAGAGAAACCGACACCCGAATCAGCATCCGAAGTCGCATCGGGATCGGAATCGAAATCGAACGGAGACGGAGGAACATAGAGCGACACTCAATTCGCATGAGGGCAATGGCAGGCTGGGGAACAAAATGCAATACAACTTTGTGCGCCACGTGGCAGAAACCCCACGACGAAACATAACTGCTCTATTGTGTTCGACGTGGCAATGCCGTGGAGGCGAACGCCACCATCTACTCGGCACGTGGCTCCAGCGCGGATGACGACACGACAAGACCCAGACATGCGACGTCCTGATCTTTTCAGGACGGCGTCCCTGGAAATCCCGACCCCTTCCCCGGGACCGGCTTCTCATCCCGAGTCGCTTTCTGACGGCCCCGGGGCCCGGCGAGGGCCCCTGGGGGCCGAAATTGGCCAAAAACCTCCCGCCCTGATAGGTTTCTAGTAGGCTCAAAAAAAAGCATCATGACTCCTCAGGGGGGTCGGGGCGGGACCCGGGGCGGCTGCCGTCGAAGCCCAAATCGCCTGGGACATCCTCGCAAAATCGCTCTTGGCGCTGCTAGAACTCCATTCCCGGCGTACATTTTGGATGCCCGGAGCCAACTGTAGGCCACTTCGTGGTCTTCGAGTTCCCAGAACTCCATTCCCGGCCACATTTTGGATGCCCGGAGCCAACTGTAGGCCACTTCGTGGTCTTCGACTTCCCAGAACTCCATTCCCGGGCCACATTTTGGATGCCCGGAGCCAACTGTAGGCCACTTCGTGCTCTTCGAGTTCCCAGAACTCCATTCCCGGGCCACATTTTGGATGCCCGGAGCCAACTGTAGGCCACTTCGTGCTCTTCAAGTTCCCAGAACTCCATTCCTGGGCATGATTTTGAATGCCCGGAGCCAACTGTAGGCCACTTCGTGTTCTTCTAGTTCCCAGAACTCCATTCCTGGGCCACATTTTGAATGCTGAGGCAGGCTGATGCTGCGGCCGAGGCAGGCTGAGGCTGAGGCAGGCTGAGGCTGAGGCCGAGGCTGAAGGCAGACTGAGGCTGAGGCTGAAGCAGACTGAGGCTGAGGCTGAGGCAGGCTGAGGCTGAGGCTGAGGCAGGCTGATGCTGAGGCAGGCTGAGGCTGAGGCTGAGGCTGAGGCTGATGCAGGCTGAGGCTGAGGCAGGCTGAGGCTGAGGCCGAGGCTGAAGGCAGACTGAGGCTGAGGCTGAAGCAGGCTGAGGCTGAGGCTGAGGCAGGCTGAGGCTGAGGCAGGCTGAGGCTGAGGCTGAGGCAGGCTGAGGCTGAGGCTGTGACTGCGACTGCCGTTGCCACTGCGACTGTCATCGCGAATGCGACTACGACTGCGAGAACAGCAGAATTCTACAACTGGATTCTCATCTGAATCTTAAGGGGAATGCTTCCAGATATGCTCCTACACATCGCTGTTAGGTTGCTTTGCCGGGACAATTTTAAACGACGCGAGCACGTCCGGTGAGCGACGACGACGACGAGGACCGACGCGAGCCCCGTCGGGCTGCGCTCACATCGCCACGCCGAAGCCCGGCGCGCGGCACCGCGCCGGCGAGGCCGAGCCTCGCCGCTCGGCGGCCCTCTCGGCCGCGTCCGCCTCCTCGCGCCTCCGCGCCTGGCAGGCGGGCGGGCCCAGACCTCATCGCGTCGTTGCCTGGTTGTGCCTTGAATGCGTATACGAGTGCAGACGTATACAGACATACAGACATACAGGCATAAAGACATACAGGCATACAGACCTACAGACATACAGGCATACAAACATGCATGCATGCATGCATACATACATACATACATACACCTACACATACATACATACACACATGTATACATATATATATATAGACATACAAACATACATATACACATACATGTATAAACATACATACACACATACATACATACATACATACATATATACATACATACATACATACATACATACATACATACATACATACATACACACACATACATACATACATACGTACATACATACATACATACATACATACATACATACAAACATACATACATGCATGCATACATACATACATACATACATACATACACACATGCATATATACATACATACATACAGACATACATACAGACAGACAGACAGACAGACAGACAGACAGACAGACAGACATACAGGCATACATATATACATACATACATACATACATACATACATACAGACAGACAGACAGACAGACAGACATACAGACATACAAACATACAGACATACATACATGCATGCATATACATACATGCGTGCATATTTATATACTATATGACATACACCGGTACATACACACATACATACAGACAGGCACACATACATACAGACATACATACATACGTACATGCATACTACATACATACATACTACGAAAATGCATACGTGCATACATACATACATGCATGCCTACAGACAGACCGACATATATGTATATGCATAGGTACATACATACACATATACATATGTACACACAAAAACAAACACGTCAATAACAACCCCCAAAAACAAAAACAAAAAAACAAAAAAAAACAAAAACATCAACAACAGCAGCTATGGCAAAAAACAGCAGCAAAACCAACAACGACAACGACAACAACGACAACCACAACCATAACCACAACACCACCAACAGCAACCGCAGCTGCAACAACAATCACACCAACGACCACAACAACAACAGTTGCAACAGCTGCAGCAGCAACAACATAAACAACAGCAGCAACAACAACAGCATCAGCAACAGCAATAACAAAAACAACCACAACAACAACAATCGCAACACCTACAACAACAAAGACTCCTCGCTCTGATTTGCCCGCGTGACAATCAACATGCATATCCCGAAGCCTCAATATCCGCCCCCCTTCGTCTTCGATCGTCCAGCCCGCGGCCCCACGGGTCCCGACCGCTTCCCCTTCGGAGATCTACTGGCCCGGGTCAATCCAGACCCGGGTCAGTCGGGCCCTGCAGGATCCTGCAAGATGCTGCAGGATCCTGCGCGATCCTGCACCCAAGCCCCGGTTCAGTGCGACTCTGGCCCTGCAGAATCCTGCAAAATACGGCGCTCTGACTGATCCCCATTTGCACTGACCCCCGTCTCGTGAGCCCTGACCCCCTGGGGCAGCTCTCCTACCCCAGAACCACTGCTGACAGCCCTGGGGCCCGGAGAGACGGCCCCCGAGGGCGGCAGGCGCAGCAGGACCCCTGGTGGACAACAATAAAAAAAGTATCGTCGGAGAGCCGGGCCCGTGTCGTATGCAGCCCCCTCCCACGCCGCGAGAATACACACACAGACACCCTCCAACGAACTTCGCGCGTGTGCCTGCAGGGCGGGTGGCGGTGCATAAAATGTTGCTGGCTCCCAGCGGTGATTCACATACCGCCGCCCTCTCCTCCCCTGAGACCCAGTCAGGAACAATCCATCGGAGGGTGTCGGAGCATCTATCTCTTTTCGTGGCGGCCCCTCCACCTTTCCCCCGTACGCGCGCCACCCAACCTCTCCCGGCTGCACCCCCACTGTGCAGCCTAAGTTAGACGCTCGTTCTGGGGACCCTCTTGGAGCCACTCGCTCCACTCGAGCGTCGAAGCTGCGTCGAACGTCCGTCGACCCGCGCCGAACCTGAGTCGAACTTGAGTCGAACCTGAGTCGAACCTGAGCCGAACCTGAGTCGAACTTGAGTCGAACAGACCCGTGATGCAGGCCCAAGAGAGGTCCCCAAAACGAGCATCGAACCCAAGGGGGCATGAACTCCCCAGCCGCCCTGGGACGGGCGCCGGCCCCGGCGGCGCAGAGCGCGCCCGCCGCGGCCGCCTTCCGCCCGGCGAGCCTGGTCCAGACCGTGGCGCTGCTGCGACAGCTGCTCGAAATTCCTCGAGGCGTTCGTGGAGAGGACCTCAAACCGGTTCCTGATCTCCTTGCTGCGGTCCTGCGGAGGAGGAGGAGGAGGAGGAGGAGGAGGATGACACATGCTTGCCGCTCGTGGCGGGGCCAGAAAGGCGGGTGCGCGCCAGCATGGGCTAGCGATCCATGGATGTGGGGCGCGGTTGCCTCCATCCCTCCCTCCCTCCCTCCCTCCTCCTCTCCCCTCCCCCCCAGGTGGGCTGGCCACGTCCTCCCTCCGTCCTCCTCCCCCCTCCTCTCCTCCCCTCCCCTCACTCCCTCCCTCCTCCTCTCCCCTCCTGCCCTCTCCCCTCCCCTCCCTCCCTCCCCCCCCCTCTCCGCGCGGGCGCGGGTCCGGCCCGGCGGCCCGCGCAGGGCGCAGCTGCCCGGAGCAGAACAGCCTCGTGACGGGCGGGGCCGTCTTCGCGAGGTCCTCCGAGCATCGCTTCACCGAGATCCCTACACCCTACGAAATGCTTAAGAAATCATGGGTTAAGAAATTCATAGTCTCAGAACTTGAATAAAAACCGAAATAATCCATTCAAATCTTAGGATTCACATTGAAACATTAAGAATAATCGAGACTCTGGCCGAAAATTTAAGTTTTCTTAAGCATCGCCTAAGGTGTATCCCCACTGGTCGGGTAGGGGATCGACTCCAGAATTGATGTGCCCCAGAAGTGACTTCCTCGTCGAATCTACCAAAAAGATACTTCGAAGTCTCAGCAGATGCACGAAAAGAAAAAAACAACGTACACTAGTCGTAAATTCGGTGGGGAAATCAAGTTCGTGGTGAATCCATTCTGTAGTCGATCCCCTTATCGAATTGGCGTGGCCTGGGCCACGCCGGCCGATTTACACCCCCCTAGATGGGGATATGGGCTGTGTTCCCTTCGGGTTGCGAGGGGCAGATCCCCAACTGGGGTGATGGGATGGTGGGGATGGGGATCAGTTGAATCCTCCTCCTCCTCCTCCTCCTCCTCCTCCTCCTCCTCCTCCTCCTCCTCCTGCTCCTCCGATGCCGATCCTCGGTCTTCTCCCGCAGCAGCGCGCCCTGCGCCTCGTCGATGGTGCCGCGGAACGCGCGCAGCTCCAGCGCGTTGCCCCGGGCGGCGTCGGCCACCGCCTCCAGCCGGCTGGCGAGGCTCCCCGAGGGCCGCCGCACGACGTCGAGGCTCCGCACCTCGAGGAGCAGAGAGCTCCTCCTCCTCCTCCTCCTCCCTCCTCCTCCTCCTCCTCATCCTCCTCCTCCTCCTCCTCCTCCTTCCTCCTCCTCCCTCCTCCTCCTTCCTCCCTCCTCCTCCTCCTCCTCCTCCTCCTCCTCCTCCTCCTCCTCCTCCTCCTCCTCCTCTCCTCCCCTCCCTCCTCCTCCTCCTCCTCCTCCTCCTCCTCCTCCTCCTCCTCCTCCTCCTCCTCCTCCTCCTCCTCCTCTTCGGAAAGCTCGGAATGAAGTCTCCACACTAGCATGCTAATGGAAGACTGAAGCAACGACGCTCTGATTCGAGGTCGTACGCACGCTGCTGCGTGCTGGCAGTCATTGCAACACTCTGGAGGTGTTTCCGATTCCCTCCCGCCCCCACATTGACTAGCACTTGGCATACACACATCCCCCAAACCCAGATCACCGCCCTCCAGGCGAAAGCCAACATAGAAACCGCCGCAAGGGACATACCTCTAACACAACGGAGCCGACTAAAGCGGTGTCTGGATCATCGGCTGGGCATGCCAAGTCTGAGTACACAGCCCAGCAACTATCCGCAGCATGAACCTAAGGCCAGGGCCAGCGTTTGGGAGAAGAAAACGTTCCTCGAGAGGTGCGTTCGCAAGGACCATATTCCTAAACAGCTGAAGGATCACTCAACCCCATAAACATATGATAATGACCCTTACCTTATATAGCTGTTAGGGAAACGGCTAGGCTACAACGGCCCCTGTCGTAACGGCAGCCTGGTCCGAGCGATATCGGACCGCCTCCTCCTCCTCCTACTTCTCCTCATCCGCCTCCTCCTCCTCCTCCTCCTCCTGATCCTCCTCCTGATCCTCCTCCTCCTCCTCCGAGCGGGTCCAGGGTCCCGTTCTTCCTCGAGGCACCGACGTGACCAGGCTGGCGGAGGCGCCGCCCCACTGCTCCGTCGTGGCGGCCTCGGAGGCGGGCAGGGCCCCGCGGGGCGCCTGCTTGCTGTCGCCCCGCTCCTCGCCGGGTGCGCCGCGCACTTGGGGGGGGCGGTGCGAGCCCAGGCAGTGCTCTCGCGCCGTCGGGACCTCGCGAGCCAGGAGGCTTTTTTGGACGCTCGAGATAGGTACGGAAAAATTGGGTATGATACCAGAGAAAAACCCAATCAGGGCTATAGGGCTAGGGGGCTATAGGGCTATAGAGCTATAGGGCTATAGAGCTATAGGGCTATAGAGTTGTAGGGCTATAGGGCTATTGGGTTATTGGGCTATAGGGCTATAGGGCTATAAGGCTTAGGGCTATAGGGCACCCCGGGGCACCCCCGGGCACCCCCGGGCACGCCCGGGCACCCGGGCACCTGGTCACCCCCAGGCACCCCCCAGGCACCCGGGCCCAGGGCACCCCCGGGCACCCGGGCACCCGGGCGTGCAGCGAAAATCGGCGACAAGCCTAACCTGACCATATGAATCCGCTAGGACCCCTACAGAGGCAAGCCCAGATTGGGGAACAGTGCCGAACGGCAAATGTTGTTCAAAACCGACAGCGGCCGCTGTTGGGCAGGCGGCTAGTTGTCTTCAAAGAACAACGTCCGCGGCGGCGCGGACAGCGAGACCTGCTCAACATGAACAGGAACTGCTGTTGGACATTTCGATCGTCCCTCCTCCTCCTCCTCCTCCTCCTCCTCCTCCTCCTCCTCCTCCTCCTTCCCTCCTCTCCTCCTCCTCCTCCTTCTCCGCTCCTCCCCTCCTCCTCCCTCCTCCCCCTCCCCTCCTCCCCTCCTCCTCCTCCTCCTCCTCCTCCCCTCCCCCTCCCCCTCCTCCCCCTCCTCCTCCTCCTCCTCCTCCTCCTCCTCCTCCTCCTCCTCCTCCTCCTCCTCCTCCTCCTCCTCCTCCTCCTCCTCCTCCTCCTCCTCCTCCTCCTCCTCCTCCTCCTCCTCCTCCGCCCCTCATGACTTTTGGCCACGTGCGCCCTTCCGGGAGGCCCTCGCCCCGCCCCAGGACCGCCGGCAGGCGGCTCGGAGTGGAAAGCTGGCCCTCTTCGAGTAGGGGATCGACTATGCAGACAGTCCAGGGGCGAGTCAACTCTGTCGTCGATCCCCTACTCGGGGACCAGGAAGCAAGCGACACCACCCTACCTGCGGCCCCACGACGGGGCTCAACGTATACCTGGAGATCTGGCGTGGGCTTCTACGTGGTATGCGCTACGGCCCCCGATGAGCCGTAGCGCAACATGGAGAGTCGTAGGTGGGGTGGTGTCGTTCGTTTCTTGGTCGAACTTCGGCGACTCCGAAGGGTGTGGTTTGCAAAGGGTGTGGTCTGCAGCCCGCACCCTGGGGGGCACCTTTGGCGGTCGGGCGAGGACCTCGACGGAGCTCTCCGCCGCGCCACGAGGAGGCCCGACAAAGCAGTATCCTACTCCCCAGGCTCTGACGGTGCCGCCCGCTCGCAAGCCATACCCCAGCGGGAGGAGGAGGAGGAGGAGGAGGAGGAGGAGGAGGAGGAGGAGGAGGAG